ATACGCTGTCTCTGCATATTTTACTACACAAGGCATTATAAGGTCCTATTTTGCTTCTCTATTGGATTCTTTGCTGCTGCTGCTGCTGCTAATTGCTAGTTGTTGCTGCTGCTGCTAGTTGCTGCTGCTGCTGCTGCTGCTGGTATATCGGAACAGCAGCAGCAGCAGCAGCAGCAGCAGTCTATACATAGGAATAACATAGATTATAGTGTGCAGCAACATGAGCCTCGCCAGAAGTAGAAGCAGCAAAAGAAGCAGCAGCAGCTACAGCAGCAGCAGCAGCTACAGCAGCAGCAGCAGCTACAGCAGCAGCAGCAGCTACAGCACAGGAGTTTGCAGCAATTGCTGCTGTAATTGCAGCAAGTGCATGCGGTTTAGGTGTACAGGCAGCAACTGCTGCTGCATCTGTTGCTGCAACTGTTGCTGCAGCAGTTGCTGTATCTGTTGCTGCAGCAGTTGCTGTATCTGTTGCTGCAGCTGTTGCTGCAGCAACTGCTGCTGCTGCTGCTGAATGGTTGTCTCCTTATCTCTGCTGCTACAGGCGTATGCATGCTGCACCTTAAGGTTGCTGCAGCAAGCGGGTCTCCGGTGTCTGCAGCAGCAGGACAAGGAGCAACAGCAGCAGCAGCAGCAGCACCAGGACAAGGAGGAGGAGGAGCAGCAGCAGCAGCAAGCTTGTAGCTGCTGAAGTGCTCAAGTCTTTTCATTCTTCTTTCTAATTTATTTGCTGCTCTCCTGCATGCAGCCAATGTCTTCTCCTCTGTTTCTCTCCTTTTTGCTGCTGCTGCTGCTCCTGCTCCTGTTGCTGCTGCTACTGTTGCTGCTGGTGCTGCAGTTAATGCTGCTGGGCTGCTGCTCCGTAGTGACTTGGCTAAAGGGGAGGAGACACGAGAGCGTGCAGAAGCAGCAGCAAGAGAAGCAACAGCAGCAGCAGCAGCAGCCGAAGCAGCAGCAGCAGCAGCAGCAGGTGTAGCTGTATTAGGAGACAGTCTTGTAGGAGGAGACACTTTATTCGTGCTGTAGAGAGCAGCAGCAGGAGCAGCAGCAGCAGCAGCAGCAGGAGCAGCAGCAGCAGGAGTAGATCGCTGCAGCGATAGCGGCAGCTCCTTGCTACTACCACCCGTACTGCTGCACCGTTTTGCTGCTGTTGCTGCTCCTGCTCCTGCTGCTGTTGCTGCTGCTGCTCCTGCTGCTCCTGCTGCTGTTGTGCTGCGCAAGGAGGAGACACCCCTCCATGGTTTATCATTGATTGTATTAAGAGACAGAGAACGGCTAACTCGTGGCAGCTGCCACAGTTTGCTGCTGCTGCTGCTGCTGCTGCTGCTGCTGCAGAAGAGAGAATGCTGCGGGGATGTCTTAGGCATCTTCCAGCTGCAACGGCTGCTGTTGCTGCTGCTGCTGTTGTTGCTGCTGCTGTTGCTGCTGCTCCCCCTTTTGCTGCGTTTTTTTGTTTTCTTTTTGTGTCTTGAGCGTTTGCTGCTGCTACCAAGGGGAGGACTGCTGCAGCAGCGGCAGCAGCTGCTGCTGCTGCTGCAGCAACAGCAGCTGCTGCTGCTTCCCTCTAGAATGTTTGTTCTGCCTAGAGGAAGAGCAGCAAATGCAGCAGCAGCAGGAGGATTGTGGGGACAACCTCCGGTGTATGCACAGCTAGCAGGAAGGAGACAAAGAGGAGCAGCAGCAGCAGCAGCAGCAGCAGCAAACCCTGGAGGAAACACTTTCTTTAATGGAGGCAGCAGCAGCTGCAGGTTGCTGCCATTTGCTGCTCTACTTATCTGCTGCTGCATCCATGCAGCAGCAGCAGCAGCAAATGCTAGCAGCACAACCTCTCCATCTGAATACAGCAGCAGCAACCACCTGCATGCAGCAACAGCAGCAGCAGCAGCAGCAGCAGCAAATATAAATACAAATAAATTAAATAAATTAAACAGATAAATAAATAATTAATTAAAATAATAAAAAAATAAATAAAATAAATAAATAAATAAATAAATAAAATAAATAACTAAGTATATTTATCTGTTGCTGCCTGTATAAATAATTTTATTGAATAAATAAAATAAATAAGCAAAATAAATAGATAAATAGATAAATAAATAAATAAATAAATAAATAAATAAATAAATAAATAAATAAATAAATAAATTTATCTGTTTGTTGCTGTTTGTATAATAATTTTATGTATAAATACATCAATAAAAAGATAAACAAATAAGCAAACAAACAAACAAAATAAATAAATAAATAAATAAATAAACTAATTAATTAATTAATTAATTAATTAATTAATTAATTAATTAATTAAATAACTAACTTAGTATATTTATCTGTTGCTGCTTGTATAATAATTTTATGTATAAATACATCAATAAAAAGATAAACAAATAAACAAACAAAATAAATAAATAAATAAATAAATAAATAAATAAATAAATAAATAAATAAATAAATTAACTAACTTAGTATATTTATCTGTTGCTGCTTGTATAATAATTTTATGTATAGGTTTAATTTCTAATAAAAGAAGAAGATCATCAATTCTTATTATTTGTACTCTGCCGTCCTCTAGTATAAGGCCAATTGCTGCTGCTGCTGCTGCTGCTGCTGCTTGCTGCTGCTGCTGCTGCTGCTGCTGCTGCTGCTGCTGATGCTGCTGATGCTGCTGATGCTGCTGCTGCTGCTGCTGCAGGGGTATAGATAAAGAAAAAATATTTATTATTGGGGAATCAGCTAAGTAACAAGATAAAAATAATAAATGAGGTCTTGCTGCTGCTGCTGCTGCCTTTATTTCTGCTGCTGTTGCTGCTCTATCTGTGCTGCTGCTGCTGCTATTTGCTTCCTGCTCCTGACGCCAATCATAACTACGTCCTCTTCCTCTCCTTATATAACAAACCCTACCCTCCTCCTTCTCATACATTCCTTCCCCCCTGCACATAAACCCTAAACCCTAAACCCTAAACCCTAAACCCTAAAGCTTGATTCAAAGGGAAGCAGTACCAACATATCCCGGCTTATTTTGTTCTTTTTTTCTTGCTGAATTGAGGCTTTAGGGTTTAGGGTTTAGGGTTTAGGGTTTAGGGTTTACCTGAGTGCATCTATGGCGGGTTTAGCGTTAAAAAGGGTTTGTGGTGATACAACAGCAGCAGCAAGTCTTGGTGGAGGGAAAGGGGGAGGGAGAGCAGCAGCAGCAGCAGCAGCAGCAGCAGCAGCAGCAGCAGGTTTCTCTGTTTTATCCCTAAATATACATATTAATCCCTTATGTGTATGCAGACATAAACCTGCTGCTATTATTAACTCCTTTATACATATTACCCTATAAATAAATAAATAAATAAATAAATAAATAAATAAATAAATAAATTAATTAATTAATTAATTAATTAATTAATTAATTAATTGAATAATATTATTAATAAGATAACTAACAACTAAGGACGTAGCAGCAACAGCAGGAACAGCAGCAGCAGCAGCAGCAGCAGCAGCTAGCGGTAGAAGCAGGAGTAGCCATAGCAACAACTAGCAGCAGCAGCAGCAACAACAAGCAGCAGCAACTAGCAGCAGCAGCAACAGCAACAATAACAAACAGCAGCAAGCAACAACAACTAGCAGCAACAGCAGCAGCACCTAGCAACAACAGCAGCACCCAGCAGCAGCAACAGCAGCAGCAGCAGCAGCAGCCGTACTGTCTAAATGAATAACAAGAAGGAGATGCTGCTGTGTCTGTATTTAATATTGCTGCTGCTGCTGCATCCATGCTGCACTGTCGCTTGAATGGCAGCAGCAGCTGCTGCTGCCGCTGCTGCTGCTGCTGCTGCTTAAATGCTTTTGTTTGTGTAGAGAAAGGACCTATGGTACAGCTACGCAACTGCTGCTGCTGCTGCTGCTTCAACTGCTGCTGCTGCTGCTGCTGCTGCTGCTGCTGCTGCCGCTGCTTCCATACAGAGAGGAGACCTGTACCCTGCAGCAGCAGCAAACGTCTTAGTTTGCAGGGTTTAGGGAATTCTTTTATTTTATATTTTTTTGTTATGTTGCTGTTAGGCATTAACCACAATCTGCTGCTGCTGCTGCTGCTGTTGCCGCTGCTGTTGCTTCTGCTGCTGTTGCTGCTGTTGCAGTTGTTGCTTCCGAGGAACTTCCTTATTCTTCTTTTCTTGCTGCTGCTGCTGCTGCAGATAGTGCTGGGGGTAATTCTAGGTAACCAAGCCTTCTCTTTTGCTGCTGCTGTTGCTGCTCTTCCTGCTGCAACCGCTGTTGCTGTTGCTGCTGCTGCTGCTGCAGTATTAGGCAGCCGTTGGGGTGTATATACAGGAGAAATAGGATAAAAAGACTTAAAAGGAGGAGAATAAAAAGACGTAAAAACGCGTAAACGGCAAAAGGTGCGAAGACACCACAAGGCAACACTATCCGCAGAAAGAGAACCAAAACTGAAGAAAAAAACAAAAAAAAAAAAAAAAAACGAGGGTTTAGGGTTTAGGGTTTAGGGTTTAGGGTTTGGGGGGGAGGGTGGTTTAGAGGAACGACAACAAATAACAAAGAATAAAATAATTCTTTAATTCACTATAAGTACATTATTCGGATTGGACACATATGTGAACTAGGGTTTAGGGTTTAGGGTTTAGGGTTTAGGGTTTAGGGTTTAGGGTTTAGGGTTTACATTTTTCCTGGTAATATTTTGATTTGTTGTATATCATGTGCATGCGTTCTTCCTTCTGACCAAAAAATAAACCCTAATAAACTAACAGCAAATAGTTGCTGCTTTAATGCACAAACCACCATATATTTGCTGCTGCTGCTGCTGCTGCTGCTGCTGTTGCTGCTGCTGCTGCTGTTGCTGTTGGTCTTGCTGTTGCTGTTGATTGTGGTGGTTGCGGTGGTTGATGCTGCTGCTGCGGTGTGCTGCATCTGCTGCAGTTGCTGCAACTGCTGCTGCAGCTGCTGCTGCTGCTGGTGCTGCTGCTGCAGCTTACGCAGCTTACGAGGGAGAGGAAAGAGGCAGAGACACTTCACTGCTCGACCAAAGAAACACACACGATGAGCCCTGTACACAAACCCTAAACCCTAAACCCTAAACCCTAAACCCTAAACCCTAAACCCTAGAGACTAAACCCTAAACTTTGGAGTCGTTTTTTTCCGTTTCTTTTGTGGCCTGCAGCAAGAGTTGCATTGGGTCTGTGTCTAGGGTTTAGGGTTTAGGGTTTAGGGTTTAGGGTTTAGGGTTTTATTTATTCCTTACTTTATACTGGGGAGATAAAAAGCATAGATATCTCCTTTGTTTGTTGCTGCAGCAGCAACGTTGCCATCTGCTGCTATTGCTGCTGCTATGTATCTCCCCCTCTTCCTCTCTAAATGCAGCATGGTAGGTGCTGCTGCTGCTGCTGCTGCTGCTTTTTCTGCTGCTGCTGTTGCTGCTGCTGCTGCTGCTGTTGCTGCTGTTGCCGAGGGAGAGCTGCAACGTAGAGTGTTCCACATAGGTTGCTGCGTACAAATAGGATTCAGTGTTGCCTGCTGCTGCTGCTGCTGCTGCTGCTGCAGTTGTTGTTGCTGCTGCTGCAGGGAATCAAGGAGTTGCATCATGAGCTGTTGCTGCTGCTGTTGCTGCTGCTGTTGCTGCATCTGCTGATGCAGGGCTTCACGACGTCCTGCAGCAGCAGCAGCAGCAGAAGCAGCAGAACCAGCAGCAGGATCTTTTTTTGTTTCTCTTTCACGCAGCAGAAGCAGCAGCAGCAGCAGCAGCAGAAGTAGCAACAAGCAGCAGCAGCAGAAGCAGCAACAGACAGCAGCAGCAGCAGCAGCAGCAGACACACCTGCATATACACCTAAAGGTTGCCCCTCATTGCATGCAACAAATTGGGGTTTAGGCAATGTTATGCCGCTAAACATCCAACCTGTACTCCTTAAAACACAAATTAGGGTTTAGGGTTTAGTGAGGGTTTACAAAAAAGGGTTTAGCGAGGGTTTGAGAGAAAGAAAGGGTTTATTGGGGGATAAAGAAAGAAAAAGGGTTTAGCGAGGGTTTAATGGATAAAAGAAAGGGCTGCACACTCTTATAAGAAAAAAGAAAATGGGGGTTCTAGAAACCCAGGCAAGGGTTTAGGGTCTAGGGTTTAGGGTTTGGGGTTTAGGGTTTAGGGTTTAGGGTTTTTCGGTGTGTAAGAAGCACCTGGAGAGTCGTCAACCGAAAGCTTTCCTTGACTGAGCTGGTGCTGCAGCTGCTGCTGCTGTTGCTGCTGCAGCTGCTGCTGTTGCTGCTGCTGCCTGGATTGTTGCAGCAACTCCTCGAGCAGCAGCTGCTGCCGCTGCAGCAGCAGCAGTTGCTGCTGCTGCTGCTGTAGAGCTTCCTCCATGGCATTCCCGTGTTTAGAAGTTGCTGATCCAAGCAAGCTCTAAACCCTAAACCCTAAACCCTTCTATCCCAAACCCTTTGGCTTGGCGGAAGAGGAGGCTCGGCTAAGGAAGTACGGCAGGAGGGTTTAGGGATTAGGGTTTAGATCCCTGACAAGCCGTTTGCATTATGCAGCTAGAATAAGCAGAAGGCTATCGTAGGGTTTGCGTATATATTGAATATATCTAGGGTTTAAGGGTTTAGGGTTTAATATTTTTCTTAGGAGGGTTTAGGGTTTAGCGCTGAGGACCTAGGGTTTAGGGTTTGTGTGTAGAAGATGGAAGAGGGATCTATGCCGAAACCCTTAGAAGAAGAAAGCCCTTTTGTTGCGGGTTTTACTCCTATAAAAAAAATTAGGGTTAGGGTTTAGGGTTTAGTAGGGTTTAGGGTTTAGGTGGTGTAGGGTTTATGGTGATGCGGCGGCACACGGGGAGAGGCATATTCGTTCCGTTGCTCCTTTTGTCGTTATTTTTTAATTATAATTAAATATTTATTTAATTTTATTTATTCTTTTTTATTTAATTCTTTTAAATATCTTTTTTACGGCAATAAAACCCTCAAAACCCTCGCCTTCCTTGCCGCCGCTCCCCTCCCCCCCAGGTGACCCTGCAGCTAGAGGCTTCGATGGTGGTTTGTTACGAACAAAAATAACTAACTAAACCCTAAACCCTAAACCCTAAACCCTAAAAATTTAAGTAGTATAACTAGGGTTTATAAAGTCCTTAAATGGGGAGATATCGAGGGTTTAGGGTTTACAGATAAACGAGGTCTTCAATCAAAGTCTAGGGTTTACACACATGCTGCTGCTGAGGGCTCACAGCAGCAGATGCAGCAAACCGCTGCAGCTAGGGTTTAGGGTTTAGGGTTTACGTTGGCTACAGCAGCAGTCTGCTGTGCTCTATCTTGTAGAGATCCGCGGCTTCAAGAGACCGCTCATAAGCCCCCCAAACCCTAAACCCTAAACCCTAAACCCTCATGGGTCCTTTATGCAGGCGGCTGCTCCACATACACCGCATCTCGCACCTTCCTTAGCTGCGTAAACCCCAGCTCTCCAAACCCTTAATAAACCCTAAACCCTAAACCCTAAACCCTAGGCACTAAACTGTCGCACCTCAGCGCAG